TCCCAGGCCCCTGACTGACCCAAAGGGCCTTCAGATCCTCAGAGATGCTGTCCACCCTGTTTAGGTTGGAGCCCCTGACCTTCGCTAACTTGTTCCACTTCCTGCAGCAAGAACGGACAGAGAGAGTGGAGAGCACCATAGTTTGCAGGTTGACCAGGTGAAAGGGGAACTGGCTGAGGGAGGTTTGGGAGCCCAGATGACCCTAAATCCAGAAGGGAGAGGAAAAGTGCTTGGTTTAGGACATGGGCAGGGCCTGGGAGGTCACAGGTCCGGCCACTCTGGAGCAGGCATGGGGCATTGACAGCAAGCAGTTCCACACTGCAGTTGCTCTTGTGGGCTACTGATGACCTACAGTGACCTGTCAGCACTGAGACACCTTGTTGCTAGCCTGTGGCCTGCAGCCACCTCAGCGTGGGAGAGGGGGTTGTGGACTGTTCAGAGGGCTCCAGGGCCCAGCAGCCAGTAGCAATGGCAAAGAAGCTGCTCTGACATCCCCTGGGGAGGGCATCCTCAGGAAAGGGGCCTGTTTGGGTCTTGATGGAGGGGGTGGGTCCCCAACAGCCTTTGTGGGCAAGCTGCAGTGGACAGGACCTCTACTCCTAGCCAACTATCACTGGCACCAAGACAGCATTCCTTTTCCCTGGGAGATGGGCCTGGCATGCATGCTGGTGCATAGACCTGCTGCAGAGGCTAAAGGGTCCTGGGTGGGTGCTGACTTGAATTTGAATGTCTTTTGCAGTGGAAAGTGAGAAAGCCCTCAGCTCTGCTGGTGGAGGCAAGCCCCGGCCCCTCTGACGAAGCCCGCATCATCTTTTGGGATCTCTGAGCCTTGGAGAACTTCTGGGAAGTTGGTGAGGGTCGGGAGCTTCCTCATGTGAGGCTAGGATGGGGCCTGTCCCTCCTTCACGCCCCTTCCATCTGGCCCTCACGGAGCCTTCCTTCGAGCATCAGGGCTGGGAGTCCTGAAGCACCTCCCATCCTCTTTGTATCCACAGGCTCAGGTCTAGCAGGAGCTGGGCCAAGCCCGAGGTTTCCGCAGGAAAGGCTGAGAGGATTGCTCCAATCCAATTACTAGAATGTGCTCACATCGGCTGGCAGCCCCGAGATGGGGCCGGCCCATTTCTGCCTGGATGCCTGCAGGGGAGGGGTTGGCATGGCAACGTGAGCTCTGAGCTGCTGAAACTTGAAGTCAACTGGTAGCTGGGAGGACAGAAAGAACGACCGAGAGGAGCCTCTGAGTGACGGGCGTCAGACAAATCCAGGTTAGTCCCCGACAGCCACATCCCAGAAGCAGAACTGGGTCTGGGGGTCTGGCATGGCATGTGTGCCAGAGTGGGATTCCCACCGACCCAGCTGTGCCTGTAAATGCCTGTCTCTCATCTAGAGCCAAAGCACCTGCCTCCCCTTCCTTGAAGCCCTCCCTCGCCCCCCTACCCCTCCTATGCACAGTCCCACTGTCCCTCTAATCAGGCACGTGTCTGTTTGCACATCAGGACA